TTTTTTTTTTTTTTTTTTGGAAAATTTTCAATTTATAATAAATTTTTTAAGAGAGGGCAAGAATCGCGATTCGATAATATTTTTAATTAAAGTGAATGAATAGAAATTCAGATATTGGAAAAAATGTTATATTTGCTTCGGTGTGTGTGAAAATTGGATAAAAGGATGTAACAGTGTTGTTTTGTTGTATCCAGAAAATATAGAAATTTAGAATTCAATTCGATCGAAATAATTGGTAGTTTTAACTTTAGTTTTCCAATGAAATTGTATCTCGAAATCGTGTTTCTCAAGTTAATTTCACGGGAGAGAGAAGAAAATTCCGATTTATTCCGATCGATCAAGATTGTCTAACCCCTCTCCCCCCTAATTGCTCACGCCATCTTGCGACGAGACGAAATTAATCACATCGAATCGAGAAGCGGAAAGAAAATCATGATTAATTAAGTTAAATTACTGGTGCTTGTTCTTGAGGATTTCTGGAAGACGGATGACAAGGGACGGATTTAGATTCTCCAACTTTAAGGGAGAATCGCGGCAGGATCTTTAATAAAGTGCACCCATTTTTCCGCATCGCGACACGAATATTTTAACATGCAAATGCGAAAAATTCGGTATTAATCATTCGACTGTATCATTCGCGGATGAATGCGCGTCTTATTTTCAATCTGTATCGATAGGAATTTATGAGATGGCTTTTGATACACAGTTCCAAAGAGACAACAAAAAAACAAAAGAAGAAGAAGAAGAAGAAAAAAAAGAAAACAGAAAAAAACTGATTCGCGTCTCGCAACTTTGATATCGAATAAATTCTATAAATTGCTCGTACGTTAGTCTATTGATTTTATTCCAGCCACGTTTCGTTTCGGAAAAACAAACGATAGATTTCGTAAATTTGAAAGAAAAAAAAAAAAAGAAAAAGAAACTACGAAACTGATCGACCTCCCTTTCGACGATAGTTATTTCGAAACCTTGACGAAACTTGATTTACAGAAATAGCAGACGTCCCTTTCAACTCTAGGTCGTTTCACAGAGCAAACTCTGGTCCTTTTCTCTCCGAGTTTCGTCCGAATTATTCGTGTCACGTAAACCGGTTAAATCAAGCTCCATCCTTTTTCAAGATTTTCGCCGCTTTCTCGACAATCCCGGCTACGTAATTTTCCCGCAATCGTGCAAAACAAATGCAATACGGGCGGCAGTTGTATTTTATTTTCGTAGAAGAGCTTCGAATTACGTTTATTACGCCCCCTCCTCTGTCCATCACTTTCAATCGACGTCGAGAAAACGTTCTTAAATCTCGGCTCGACCGACGAATCCGTGTGTCTCTTTTGACTTCTCCAGTTGCACGGATAAAGCAAGCATTTTATTTTAAGGGAAGGTTAAAACGATTGACAAAACGTTGTGAATGGATTTCGAAGAAAGGGATCAGGGATCGCCTCTCTTCCCTTTCCTTTTTTTTTTTTTGAAAATGGTGGACGCTCACCTGTCTATAGAGATTGCTACGAGATTGAAGATGGAACTGGTGCTGCACGTGACGTCCATTGCGATGTAAAAGTCACAGACAAAGCCGGGCAAGCTCCACGACCCGTTTACCTGAAAAATGAATGAACCAACTGTGAAGATTAAAACTCACCACCAATCGTGCCGATTCGGATTAGCCTCCCTTGTTCTATGGATTGGGGGATTCGTTTCGTAGTCGAATTATCGATCGAACGATTCATCGAGCTCTCCGTTCATGCGAATAAACGGGTAAATGGCACAAGTATTATCAAAGAGGTGGATTCAAATTATCATAAATCTTTAAAAAGGAAAGAGACTCGATTATTTGTTCGAGTATATATAACTGATTTATATTACTCGTCTTGTTTGTCGACCATTAATTTGTTTTCTGGTTATCTGGTCAAAGTTCGATATTTTCAAAAAAAAAAGAAATAATTAATTAAAATTTCTTAATTAATTAAAAAGTTGAATTATAAACGACAACTTTATTTAAAATGCTCGTATAACATTTATTTTATATAATAATTTCCTCTCTGAATCACGAGTGGCTTTTCTACTTGTCCGACTATAACGCGTTTATACTACTTATCCACTTCTCGCGTGCATACATGTTCGTCCGATCCTGATTGACCTACGCTACTCCTCTCACTCTGATTACATTACTCGATTAACCATGATTTACTCGTACCTCATCATCACTTGCTCTACTACTACTACTACCTCGAGAATATCCATATACCATTCCATCAACGAATCTACAATTCCTCCACGGATTCTCGAAAAAATAAAAAAAACACCTATCGGAAATGAGAAGATAAAATTATTTTCGCTTCGAGTGTACAAACACGCGTCGAACGATCTCTGAACAATAGCAAAAAAAAAAAAAGGAGGGAGAAAAGAGAGGGGAAAAAAAGGAGTGTCGCTATTTTTTTTTCAAACAAACGATATTCCGCGTTTCCGTCTTTATGCTTCCGCTTCGTCATCCGTCTTTTTATTTTCGAAATCACATCCGTGCTCGCGATAGCTCTCCTTCCGTGGGTATCTGTACCAAAGCCTATTCCGTGATTTATTTGGAACAGCCGTGCCTCGAGTAGGAAATCGGGCGCGGTCGAAACGCGCCTATCACCGCCGGCTATGCGTACAGCGCTGTCTCCATTTTCTGTTAAACCGGCGGATTTCACAGCGTTGAATTTCCTACCTGTGTTATTATTCACCGTGGTGTACAGTGGAGGGAAGGCGTACCACCAGCCATTTCTCGTTTCGGTTAAATTATTCGATGCTTTCGCCGAATGGCTAAGCTATTTTTCCTTTTTCCCCCTTCCTCCTTTGCAACGTATTTATTTCTCGCAATTTCGAACGATTCGAAAGAAGCTTCCCGAGGATGAAAATTTAATTTTCACACTCGCGTGTACGAGGAAATTAACCTGCCGGATTTTCAATCTCTTTATCGATCGCGTTTCCCACGACACGAACGATAAATTCTTCCAAGAGAGAGAGAGAGAGAGAGAGGGATTTGAGAAAATGGCATTAAGTTGCGTATCTCGTAGCCCGGACATCATATTGATCGAACTGCTATATTTTACGTATAAGCAGAGCAGAAACACGACCAGACTATCGATATTTTATGACATTGTTACATCACTGAAATATATAACGGCGCACTCTTGCTTTCTCAAATAGTTTTGATTTACTAACTTTCAGAGGAGCGTTATTCTTCTTTTTTTTTTTCTTTTTTTTTTTTATTTTTTAAATATCGTATCTCGGTGTTTTTGCAATACTTTCCGAGCGCTTTGGATTATTTTTTTTTTTTTCGAAATCGTGGAGATATAGTATATATATATATATATATATGTATGACGTTAAACGTAGAAATTTATAGCGCGGTAACGATTAATTATTCTTTATCAGAGCTATTCTTTCATCCATATCAATTAAACAAGGAAATTTGTACGAATGATAAAAAAAAAACAGGGAAAAATCATTGTCTGGACGCAGTTTTTATACATAAAATATACCGAGCTCGAAATTCGTGTTCTATTTGTAAATTTTTTGAAATAATCGTAACTTTGAACGTTTTGATGCATCGATTTGCACATTGTTACGTATCTAACAATCGAACGACACTGTATTGTTTTATATCAGTTGCGTAAACGAGTTTTATCCAATTATAACGTATAACGTATAACTCGTATGTTTCAAAGGAAAATACATTTCTTTCTGCAAAGAGGATCTCTAGGCAAAAAGGAGAAGTTAACAAACGTTTCACGTTTGTCGTTAATTCTGATCAAAAACATTTTTTTATTTCACAGACTGCCACCTTTATACGTTCGTTCACTTTTCAATACGCTTTTCAACTACGTATTAAAATAGAAACTTTTAGATCGCTTTCTAAAATTTGTAAAAAAGAGAAATCGAAGTTGTAAAAGTGTATAAAGTATAACACCAGTGTTAAACGAGTGGAATAAATCTTTATAGTCTTTATGCTTTTACTACTCTTTTAATTAATTTTACGAACGAGCATCACTGGTTTAATAAAAGTAACACGGAGATGAACAAAAGAATCGTAAAAATTTCGTTTTACAATTTGAAAAAAAGTAACAACTATATATATTTCAGAAACAGACGTCGTTAAATTTACTTCCCCGTACGAAGAATGAAAAATTCCATTCCAATTTCTCAAATTGAATCGTCGAGTCGCATTTCTGAAGCATTCTCTCGATCGTTTCAACCGCGAGTCCAACACAGATTCGTTTTTTGATCGAGCACCGACTCGTTCCTTCGTCGATTTCGACGGCGATGAGCAAATTGATCACGTAGACGACACGTCGTTAATTGCGGGGCACGATCACAAATCCCTGTGGCGTGGCCTGTATACACCGGAGTAAACATAGGTTGTAATCTTTGCGCGAAGTTGAGCCCTGGCCAAAACGCCAATAAACTATTTAGGACGAAGTAATTTAAGAGAGACGTGAGCAACTCGAACAGCTGCTCTGTAACCAACGCTTGTTATCCGATCCACATTGCTCCACTTCCGTTATCCTTATTACTTATGAAACAAAGTAATATGCAAAATTCCTTCCAACGCGTTTCGCTCTACGGCAAAGGCCTCGTTTTAAACCTGCAAATACAGATTATTATCGCATTCCCTAATTTTCTTTGATGAATAATTACACGCTTAACCCACTTAACCAACCCCAATAAAGACACAACGACTTTAGCGAGGAATTTAGTAGAAATTGACCGCGAACTAATTATAAAACGGCACATCGTGTAACCATAACATATCTTCTTTCACGAAAATTCTCGGTATCGTTCAAATCGAATTTTCCAATCATTTCATCCGAATCATTTATCCAAATTTCCTCCCTTATTTCGTTCCATCATGATATCGATTAATGCACTCGAATTTTTCCTTTACAATATTCAACAATTTTTATTTTATTAAAAATGTACGCGTATGGCTGGTAGCCCACACGTGACGCGTTTATAGCACGTGTTATTAATAATATCCGGGAAAACAAAGTAGAGGAGCGACGAAAGATTACACTCGCCGCGGAAGAGGCGCGTTTTATATCTTCCAGCTTTATATTTTAACCGTATACCTTCGCATTCGAAGCCCCTTCACCTCCCTCTCCCTGCCACTGGGGTTAAATGAGCCATAACTCCTCGTTGCGTGTTGCTCGGTAACGCGTCTCCCTTGTCGAGAGGGGGACTCGCGTCGACGCGCTTTCTAAATAGACGCGCGCCAACAATGTCGGACAATTAATCGTCGAATACGTCGAATAAATAATAAACAATTGCTTGATCGTCTTAACACGTCGACTGACGCGCCGTTTTCCAACGAATCTCCTCTCAGGACACGCGCGCCGCTATATTTTGACACCGATATTTTGATAATGCGAGTTATTGGTAGAATAATCTGTCGCGTTATTGCTAAGGTCCTTGTCGCTCCATATAAATAGTTCGAATGTTTGCCGAGCAACGAATGGCACAACTATTAAAATTTCTGCCTTAATTCGTTCCAATGTCGAAAATGGAAGTTATGTCTTAACGAATAGCAAGAATAATCTGTCGCATCATTGTTAAGATCTTTGCCATATAAATAGTTCGAATGTTTGCCGAGAAACAAGTGGCACAACTAAATTTCTGCCTTAATTCGTTCCAATGTCGAAAATGGAAGAGTTATGTCTTAACGAGTCATTGGTGGTTGCAAGA